TCTATCATGTCCAACAGTAGCTACATCAACGCACTAGTACGCTCTCTCTACGAGGAGAGCCAGAAGCACAACGTTGTCACGTTAAGCTTGGGCTTCAACTTCAATCACTTATCTCATGCCTTGCAACAATCATTGAGGAACTTCCCAACATTACTGACAGGACCCCCCGCAACTCGTCTGTCGACCAACCGTTTCTGGATTTCCAAACTCCGACTTCTTTGACTACTAAATAGTTTTCAATACACCCCTGAGTTGGGGCATGGCTGTGGCAAAAACATGGTTTTGATCGGTTTCGTGTCGCAGTGACTTGTTTCGATTTCTTTGATCGGTTTCAAAATCGTTTGATCGGCAGTGATCTGTTTCAATTTTTTTGATCGGTTTCAAAATCGTTTGATCGGCGCGGTTTCGTGTCGCAGTGATCTGTTTCAATTTTTTTGATCGGTTTCGAATTTGATCGGTTTCGAATTTGATCGGTTTCGTGACATCATTTTTTTAAAACTGACGCAGCCACATCATACGCATCAGCGTTAGCCCAAGTACGTATTTGAATGTTGGATAGAGCCTTCCTCTACGCACATTTTCATCAAATCAATCTCTTTAAATGGACGAGCCCCCCATCAACCATCTCGTTACTCCATCGGAGATGATGGAATCTGGCCTCGCCCTGAAGGGCTACAGCGAAAGGCGAATCAAGCGTGCCAAGGGAAAGACTAATGTCTTCCGCTTCAAACACCACTTCGGAGTTTCTCCCTGCACTGCAGTTTGGGTGTAAACCGACATGCAAATTACCAACATTGCAGGCGCAAAGATCAAGGGAGGAATACTTGACCTCAAATATTTCTTGATTGGACTGTACTATCTACGAAAGTATCCAACCGAAGAAGAGCTGACGTCCCAGTTCGACTACTCCAACTATTGGGTAAGAGAGAAAGCTTGGGGAACTATTGAGAAAATTCAGCTCTTGAAGCACCAGGTGATCGTTTGGGAAGACGATTACCAGCAGGGGAAAAGATGGGTAATGACAGTGGATGGGATTCATTGTTGGATCAACGAGCCCTCGCATAAGGAGTGGAGCCAAGATCCGAAATACTATTCTCACAAGTATAACAAAGCTGGTTTGGATTACGAGTTGGGAATCTCACTTGTTGACAACCGTTTGCTTTGGATGCGTGGTCCATTTCCAGCGGGGACTAATGACATTACTATCTTTAGGGAAAAAGGACTATTAGATGAGCTGAAGAAACGAAAGCAATCTGCCATCGGAGATCGAGGCTACAACGGAGAGCCAAAGCACATGAGCACCTACAACGCACACGATAATGCTGGTGTCAGGCTCTTCAAGAGTCGAGCTCTCAAGAGACACGAAAATTTCAACAGTCTGTTGAAGCAAAATAAGATCTTGGACACGCGATTTCGACACAATGAAGATAGATTTGCTTCGGCTTTCGAGGCTTGTTGCGTCTTGGCTCAGTATCGAATCACAAGAGAGATGTCACTATACGATATTTTGATCGAGGATGTTGTAGATACGTATGAAGGGGATAAATAGAAACTGTTCTGAGTAATTGTATTTACTTTCTATGTCATTCTAGTAGTCATCTTTATCCTCTTCATCTCCTGGCTCAGCATGTTGAAGTAGGTCGTCGTCATCCTCAACACCTCGTGGTCCTGCAACACCACCATTGTCTTGGTCTCGATGCTCTCTAGGAGGAACAACTACTGATTGGCTTGTAAGCTCACGCCCTTCCTGCAACGTATTGCGCATACAGGATTCTGTTTCATCAAGTGATTGTGCAAATGCCCCATCCAGCTGCCGACAAAACATGCAATTCTTTGTAGCACAGTTCTCAGCATGAGTCGGCTTGAAGGTATCATTCAGAAACTTCCTTCCATACCGGTCGTCCTCTACTCCTTTATGAGTCTCAGCATCAGCATCTGCTCGTTGTTTTCGATTCTCAGCAACTTTCTTGTCTCGCTTTGTTTTTGACCTCTTCAAAGTATCAGTAACAAGATCTGGTCTTCCTTTGTGGATTTCCCAGGTCGGAGCTTTTTCTTCCTCGCCATTTTTTCAAGGTCTGAAGCTAATATTTGTGAGGTTCGATATTTGTGAGTCGATCCTCCCGGTACTGACGGTGTGACGTTTGTCATCTTGAAGGATTTTGCTTTTCTTGAAATGAGGATTTGTTTCGTGACTGACTCACTCATTTTGAATCAATTAATTGAACGGTTTTGTGTCGCAGTGACTCTTTGATCGGTTTCGAAATCGATTGATCGGTTTCGCGACTCGTTTCGAATCGCTTGATCGGTTTTGTGTCCCATTGACTTGTTTCGATTTCTTTGATCGGTTTCAAAATCGATTGATCGGTTTCATGTCGCATTGACTTGTTTCGATTTCTTTGATCGGTTTCAAAATCGTTTGATCGGTTTCGTGTCGCAGTGACTTGTTTCAATTTATTTGATCGGTTTCAAAAAGTCATATTAATTTATGGTGGGTTCCCTGCTGCCAGGGGGGAAGACCCGTGCGCGCAGATCGCGTACTTTGCTAAAAAACGGTGGGTAGACAGACGAGTTGCGGGGAGTCCAGCGGCTTGGACGTGTTACAAAGAGCCAAAAGCTCAACACTTAACACCAGTGTCCAATTCAACCTTTTGGATGATAGTGCTGCCAACATACATTTTCCGGAGGTCCAACGGCCTCCTCTTCCATTTCACAATCTGCTTTAGTAGATACGGCACATTTGTAGCAGATCATCATATTGGAACTTGCTCCATAATCCCAACCATTCCATTGTCAAATTCAACCTTTTACATGATTGTACTGTAGTATTCAATGCTGGACTGGGATCGTAACAGGTTTCTTTCTGCAGCTAGTGCTGACTCATTGTTTGTCCCAGTGAAAAGGCGCTCATCATCGACATCAATGTCGTCTTCATTGTCATTTTGCTGATTCTAGATATGCCGCCCACTCATCTTCCTCCTCCTCATCTGGAAGAGGTACATTCTTTTGCAATCAAGCGCAATGACATAACAGTAGTCAATCAGCTTACAGTTGTTGCTTTCCATTTCAGAATGAAGCTCTCCAGAATTCTTGAGGTGAGGGCGGACTGTTTGTTGTGGGACGACTTTACCATTTGAATCCAAACAAAACCATTGACACATCTTGTCTCCTTCCGCCTTTTCAGGCCCGGGTAAGATCCAAGTACTTCCTTGTTCATTTGAGGGGAAGGCAGCCTCGCTGTCCATTGCATTGCACCATATATAATAATAATAATGTACTATAACGTTCATGACAGTACTCCCAGAAAACCAAGGGACAGTTGGATATCCGCAGGTCACACGGTTTGTCTCCTTTAATACTCCAACACAGAGCTCAGCATGGTTGCTTGTTTACCACGGTATTCCCTGCTCAAGGATGCAAGTGTGGTACCAATGCTTTACCAAAATTTTCTGAGTTCCATTAGATGCGTGTTCACCGACAGCGTCACAGATAATTGCGTCAGGAGTTCCCACTTCTGGTGCATACGTTTGACTGCCGAAACCACATCTTTCCTGTTGCGCAAAAGCACAGCAGCACATACATGTAGCTCTTATTGGTCACAAAGAGCTGGCAACTGATGTTACCTCTGGTAGATCGGTCATCTTCCTTAGCAGTAAAGAAGGCATCCATAAAGAAGTACTGGTTGATCTTCTTGCACTGGATCATTTGATCATTTGTACCATTTCATCTGTACCAAAGTTGCGGGCCATTTTGGAGGCGTCGCTTCTGTTTTGGTTGCTTGCAACGTCCGTTCCACTGTTAGGAGATCTAAGTACCATATTTTCTCAAGGTGAGCAGCTTGGACTCCTCTAAACAGTTTCGTGTACATTGCAGAGGCCATTGCTTCACCAGGATCAACATGCTTGATTTCATTGGCCAATGTTGTCCACTTGGTGAAACATCTCATTTCCACTCACTAGTGCCTCAAAGAAGTACAATTCATTTTCCACCATATCTCAGGTAGAAAGATATCATCATTAGCATTATCAGCATGTACTGTATCCAATGACGCCGCCTGTGATAAACCTTCTTGGCAAGTAGTAAGACAATTACTCAATGTGCGCTCACACAGAATACTTGAGATTGAGGCAAGGTTGACATTGAAGGATCGGTATTTTCAATCTTTGTCATCGTCAGCCTCCTCTAGAACAAACTCATTTCTCAATGTCCATTCAGCAGTTCTCAAATATAATATTGCACACATAGTCATTGCAGGATCATCTTCAATCTCTGATAGCAGAAGCTCAGGTTGGTACGGAGCATCGACATCTCCACCGTCAGAATTGGGAAGATGATCTTCAGGTCAAGCATAGTTCGGAAGACTTGTCAGATCGACTCATATGGTGTCACCAAGTCAATATGATGAGGTCAGCATTGTTAAAAGTTGGCAATTAGTATATGCCATGCAGCTTCATTTGAATGCACAGTTGTTCATCAAAACTTCTTGATTGGATGATGATCAGAAAAGGCATCAGACAAACAGGTCATCCTCGTCATTTAGTAGTAGGGCAGCATCAAAAATTCGGGATGTTCCTATGCAGCATATTTGGGACTTGTAGGTCGGACCGATGCATGTCGGTCAGTATCACTCAGAACAGAACCACTTGATCCAAGCACATTTACATTGGCGTGGGAGTCAAGTTCAGTCCTAGAATCAACCGGATGCTCAGCAGTAGTGCCATCAATTTGAGGTCAGCCGCAGGTGTGGCAAAGAATGGTGGGGACGTATTCATAGAAATTGTCGTCCATCATCTTCCAGCCAGGGTTGGTCTGGTGGCTCAAGAATCCAATGCATCGCTTGTAATTTTCAATACATTACTGATACAACAGTGGGTTCCGCCGTGACCAGTCAAGCCTTGCTCTTATCGAGAAAAAAAGCACTGGCTTCAGTAGATTTTCTTCAGCCTTTTGTCTTGGTCGACTTCTTGGAAAATTCAACCGTCTTCGGCTCATTTGGGCTCATTTCAGCAAATCAAAGCGTCTTGTTGTTTCAGGCATTGATTTCCAGAGGAAAATGCGTTATAAAGAGCATTAGTCGTAGGTGTAGTAGCATCATAACAGAATCGTAGAGTGATGGGAGCTGATAAACTGTTTAAAGGATGTGCATTGACAACAAGAACAAGTCGTAAAACCTTGATGCCTTAAAATTAATTGTGTTGATGTGAAAACATCCAAGCAAACTGTCCCTCAACGTTCGCCTAACGCGCACGTACAAATCGCTAGTGTTGTCGGCTTCAGTCAGCGAGCCAACCAGTCTCAGGTATGTCTGCCTGGCCTTAAAACATTTGCGCGTGTTATGGGTTTCATTATAGTTTTTGCGCTTGTTATGGGTTTCCTTGTATAGTTTTTGCGCATGTTGGGCTCGTCTCTTGATTGATCTGCGATATGTTTTCTTCGGTGTGATGTTGGTGGTGGTGCTGGGCGCGCTGTGTTGTTGTTCTCTGATGATGATGGCTCTCTGTCCTGTCTCTTTCTTGTTGTTGTTGAATAGTACTTTGGGTGACGCTGCTTGATCTCTTCTGATGTGTTCCACTGGAAACAAAGGGATGTAGTATTCAATGATTGCCTCGATGTTGACGCTGTCTTCGATTCCTCCAACCTTGATGGGGACATAGTGAATCTTTGGAAAGTCGTACACCTGTTTGACCAGTTGGGGGTATTGTTTTGCGATGGTGAGGTGGTATGCTTTTTCTCCTATGTTGCAGCATCCTCCTGTGTCGTATATTCCTTTCAAGTTGGCTGTGTCTCCAAGGTTGAGGCCAATTGGGAAGTGCATCACTGCTAGGACTTCGTTCACTGAGAAGTCCAATTTTTGTGCTTGTTCCATTGTTGCAAAGCTTCCAACCATCATGAAAGTGAGTGGGGGGTCCGTTCTCATTTGCTTCCTCTTTTGTCCGCTGTTTTTGCCCATGTGCTCGGTGACTGTTTTGGCCAAGTTTACTAACAGTGTTCTTTGTTCATCTGTAGTCCTCTAGGCTTTTTCCAAACTGGCTAAGAACTCCTGGATCTCCTTTGTGGGGGCATTCTCAGAATGTGTGGCCTATCTTTTGGCATCCCCAACAATGGATCGAGGATGTTTTGTCGCTTTCTTCTTCGATGCTGAGAGCTTCTTAGGCGGCACTCATGCATGCTAGCATTGTTAGGGCAGCTTGTGGGCAGTATAGTTTGCTGTCGGATGTCGGGACCAACAATTGTCTTCCTTGTCCGTCAGTGACTTGAACGTTTTGCTTCGGTGTTGGAGGGGTTGTCAATGCGGTGTGGAAGGTTCCAGCAGTCTTGATCTTTGGAGTTTGGAAGGAGCAATTGTCTTGGAATCCTTAGAATCCTTGTTGGTGGAATCCTGCAAAATCTCTTCCTCCTGGTCTTGGTGGTGCAGATAGTAGTCCTGGAACGTAGCTTCTGTTTGGTCTGACTTGTCCCGCGCTGTTTGCAATTCCCACAATTTGCATGATGCACTTCTCCTCCTTCTCTGCTTGTTCATGCAAGCGGTGCATTTGAGACAGGTTGCTGGGGTAGTTCATGAGTAGTGGTCCTCCTGCTCCCGTCCTAGGTGCTCAGCCACACCGTCCTTGATTTCTTGTGTGAAGGCTTGGAATGCTACGCCTGCCAAGTCCGATAGGTTGGTTGGTGGGGGATTCTTGTGGTTGAACCCGTTTAGAATCGTGGCGATTCTGCCAAATAACGTAGCCACAATGCCGTACATCATTGTGCCTCCTTTGTATTGGATCATGTTGAGTTTTGCCAGTTGTGGGTTTGGCGTCTCCATTCCTTGTTGTAGTCCAACGTAGGTGGCCATGAGTGCTTGTTCGAGTGCTTGGAATTGGGTCTCGGCGATCTGTTGCTTAGACCACTTTTAGTAGGCTTTGTTGTCAGGTTCTCCGTCTCTGGGATATCCCGCAGTTTTCTGTGAAGCCAGCTTTCTCTTTTTTTGGAGAGTCGATGTGGTCATTTTCACCCTCTTCTGCACGAAACTCCAAAAATCGACTTTCACCTATTGCCTGTCAGGGATATCCCGCAGTTTTCTGTGAAGCCAGCTTTCTCTTTTTTTTGGAGAGTCGATGTGGTCATTTTCACCCTCTTCTGCACGAAACTCCAAAAATCGACTTTCACTTATTGCCTGTCAGAAAG